GTTTCTGTTAATTTGACCATGGTCTATATAGTATATAATGTTTCTGTTAATGTGGCCATTTTCTATATAGTATATAATGTTTCTGTTAATTTGGACATTTTCTATATAGTATATAATGTTTCTGTTAATTTTGTCATTTTCTATGTAGTATATGATGTTTCTGTTAATTTGACCATGGTCTATATAGTATATAATGTTTCTGTTAATTTGACCATGGTCTGTATAGTACACAACGTTTCTATAAATGTAACTATGGTCTGCTTAATATCTAACGCCTCTACAGGTGAGACCATAGTCTGTATAATATGTACCGTTATATAAATGTGACCATGCTCTGTATAGTATGTAACTTTTCTGTGAATGTCGTTGTGGTCTGCATTGTATGTAACGTTTCTGTGAGTGTGATCATAATCTGTACAGTATATAATGTTTATGTGAAGTGACCATTGGCTGTACAGTATATAATATTTCTGTGAGTGTAACCTTAATCTGTACAGTATATAATGTTTATGTGAAGTGATCATTGGCTGTACAGTATATAATATTTCTGTGAGTGTAACCTTAATCTGTACAGTATATAATGTTTATATGAAGTGATCATAGGCTGTACAGTATATAATATTTCTGTGAGTGTAACCTTAATCTGTACAGTATATAATGTTTATCTGAGGGTGACCATTGGCTGTATAGTATATAACGTTTCTGTGATTCTGATCATGGTCAGTATAATGTTTCTTTGAGTGCGACTATTGTCGATATAGTATGTAATGTTTCTGTGTGTGTGTGTGTGACAATGGTTTGTATAATATCTAATGACGGTGTTTTGTGTAGTATATGATGTGTCTACAGGTGTGAAGGTGGCCTGTGTAATACATATAATTTCTCTGAGAATGTGAAAGTGGCCTGTATAATATATAATGTTTCTGCGCGTGTGAAAGCGGTTTGTATAATGTAAAATATTTATTCAAACTTTCAATAAACGTGACCATGATCTGTATATATAGATCTTTTTGTGACGCAATTTTATAATGTGGGAACTAAGAGAAGCACGTAAAAAATCTCATTCGCACAGAGCTCGATAATGTTATTATACCCAAAGTAGTATAGTATAATATTTTGTTTGATAGATCTCAAATAATAAATATTTATGAAATTAGTCTTTATTTCGAGAAAACGACTGAAAATCACATAACATTACTGTTTCTGAAACTAAAAAAGATAAGTTTCTCCAACCCTCCTTTGTGATCGAAGCTAGCAATAGAGCTAACACTTAAGAATGTCCATGTCCATGCTAACCTCAAGAAGAAGGATAACGTGAACAATGCTAATTTTGTACTTGAATTATGAAATGCACAATATAGCTTGGAAATAACTTTACCATTAATTTTGTTCAATTTTTTATGGTATAATTCCCAATAGAATTGATTAGTGAATAGAATTGAATAGAAGTGATTAGTAGAAAATTAGAAAGAAAAAAAACCAGCATAAGAGGTCTTGTTAGTAAACGTACCTCTCATTGTTGACAATGACATTGATTGTCTCAGAGACAGTGACGATTCTGATGGAAACTGAGGATGGTAGACGGATAAACCACTGTCGACGGGTTCCAAGAATACGCTGGAAGGTAAATCAAGAAAACCGTGAAACAGCAAGTCGCAGTTGGGCGCTGGACGAACATCGCTAGACCTAACTCTACAGAAAGAAGTTTGCGTAAGCATCTGTTCTGTCATGTGGCTTGGCCTTGTATCTACAGATGTCAGACCACTGATGCTTGATAGAGATGCTGGTAGATATGGCAAATAATAACTTGTTTCAGAAGAGCTGTTAGTCATTGTTAGTTAGAATCATATTGTTGTAAAATTATTACAACTTTATAAGAATTACATTACCGAGAACTAGAGTAACTATCGCTTGAATGAAGTAATGAGTTGAACCTGCACTTTATGTCCACATTTTACATGTTTTTAGCTCATTTAAAAAACTTTATACCTTGGTGTTCTCGTAACATTTACCAGAATATCTAGGAGTAACTGGGTAACGAAGTTAAGGGTGCGTAAGTAGCAGCTTGATAACATTCATAGCCAAGATCAACATGAAGATAAGAACTTGTGTTTGTTAACTTTAATGCAAAAATCAAAGGGATGTGAAATGGGAAAAGTCAACATAATAGGCTTTTATCAAACTCATAAATATGTCTAGCCTGCGTATGCCGTTATAAATTACTGAACGAAACCTTAGACAGCATATTGCAATTGTTGAAGTACAGTGTAACTTTTCAACGTCAAAGCGACATTACTAAGCCTAAAGCTATGCGATAGAAGTGGTGTGTCAAACTTACAATAATTATTTTTTGTAACAAACACGTCCAAAATTTTTAAAGTCAGTTACAAATTTTATTTATTTCCAATGGAACTTCTGACAAATTCAATGGAAACGAATAATTCACTATTTTGTTTTTCGAATGATATCTCATGATTTGAGCTTAAATGTGCGATATATTCAACCTTTTATGTCGGAGACGCGATTTGAGTTCAATAACATACAACAACTTTTTGAACGCGTTTGTTTGTAATTAAGCACAAAGCTACACAATGGGCTATCTGTGCTCTGCCCACCACGGGTATCGAAACGCAGATTCTAGAGTTGTAAGTTCGCAGACATACCGCTGTGCCACTGGGGGGCGAACGCGTTTGTTTTCGCACAACTCTGTGTAGTGAGATATCTACGCTGTGTCTAATTAAGCTTTAATTTGAGCATTGTAAGTACAGAAATCAAGAAATCTTTTGAACCCACATTACTTTTTTCGTAGAATCATAAAGCTTCTGGGATATTGCTATGTTTATTTTAACAAATTAACTCTTAATCCGAAATAGCGACACATTTCCATCATACACATAAGCGCGATATTTTCAAACGCTTTTTTACATTTAGCAATTCTGTAGGAATGATTAAGCATATTTTGCGTCACTGAATATCTTTATAGATGAACTTTTTAGTAATTGAAGTAGCAATGAAAATTTTTCTTTTAAGAAATGCTAATGAATTATCCTAATTGTAATAATTTATTTATTTTTATTTTTTAGACTTCGAAGATGTTTCATTGATGTTACTTTGGCTTTAAGGATGTTATTATAGATCTCACGTTCTTGGAAAGTTTTGCTATTTCAGAATTAAAAAATATTTGCCTTGAAGGAGGTAATTGTATATGTCTTTCTTATATCACTGGCGATCAGTACCGTCATTTATTGTCCCCCGCTGGGACAGCGTTAAGTCTTCGGATTTACAACGCTAAAATCAGGGGTTCGATTCCCCTCGGTGGACACAGCAGATAGCCCGATGTGGCTTTGCTCTAAGAAAAAAAAACAACACACACACACACACACCATCATTTATTACAATTGCATTTTGATATTATTTAACGCTATTTAGGAAGTGCGATGCCACCGAATATTGATCACTTTGCGAAGGGTATGAAACAGCCTTTTACGACGCAAAATATCTATACACTCATATCATAAAGATATGTTCAGATTAAGGATTTAGATTTTCCTTATACATAAAGATATTGGAAAACAATGGATTTCGGATCAACTTGGGACAGGAGGACCATTCAGAAAGAGACCTGCAACAAGCCGTAGCTCAGGCGTACAAAGCAAAGTGTGGTGTTTTAAAACAGGTGAGAATTCCCGAACACAGAGGTCAGTGACAAAGCTATTCATATTGCCCAAGCAACAGCATGAAGCATAATCAAGGAAAATCTCTAACTGGAAAAGCGACACAAGTCGTATGTGTATAAAAAATTCTTCCACGACATATCCGCTCAACTGTCGCATATCCCAAGAAACTGCAGAACTAAATGGGTGTTGTTGCTATTCCATACAAAGTCATATCGGCCAAGCCAACGCACGTGACACCTATGTTTGGATATTTGTGCGATCGGACTGCTGAAACGGTTGCTCGGAAACCGTCATCCTCTAACATTAGATGGATTATGGAAAGCTACGCGGAAAAAGGGGTCAATTTCAAAAAGAAAGCCTTACAATGGACCCTTTCGCCATTAAAACTATGATGAGGAACAACTGATGAATTATGTAATGTTAATAGAACGTACTCAACCTCTGTATTACATGTCATAATAAACACTAATTGAGGAACAACTGATGAATTATGTAATGTTAATAGAACGTACTCAACCTCTGTATTACATGTCATAATAAACACTAATTGAGGAACAACTGATGAATTATGTAATATTAATAGAACGTACTCAACCTCTGTATTACATGTCATAATAAACACTAATTGAGGAACAACTAATGAATTATGTAATGTTAATAGAACGTACTCAAAATTAAATTGTGTCAAAGAGTTTCTTACAGCTGTATTATCCTGTTTAGTTATGGTGTTGAGAAAATATGTATATCGTGAGGTTAGCTAGACCTTTTGTATTCGACAGAAATGGCTTTGTGTAGTTTTGATTTCAAATTTACATCCCGTTAATGAAACTTGTTCATAAGTGTGCTGGTAAAAAGTAGCATTGGTTACTACCAATTTTCTATATCTTGATTTTACAGTTTTGTAATTGTCGAGTAAAGTTATTGTTATTACAAATTACAATTTTTAGTATCCTTTATAAGGCACGGTGTTGCGTTACGTTTGTAAAAACCTCAATAACTTTCTTAACAAGTTTGTTAAATAATACACAATTAGCATTCGTTAAACCGTATCATACACAATTAAAATCACATTGTAGTTATTCTAAACATTAATATTTTCTTGGGAAAAACACAAGTGTAGAGGACGATATTTCGAAAGTCTTTCGTCTTCAGGTCCTTAAGACGAAACAGACAGTTGCCGCCCATTCCAATGCACTCATCATGAATACTCTGCCTAGACAATCCATCAAAGAGTTAATAGTTTCCTTGCAGGTTGATTCATTTTGCTTAAATAATAACTCAAATTATGGCGATGCTTTAGTTTCTGGAGATTGTATTTTAAATTTAAAAGAACGAATATTGAACGCGTTACAGATGATAGTTAATATTTGTTAAATTTTAAGTTCTATGTAAAACAGCTTGTTTGTATTTCTGTACAAAGATAGTACTTGTTCATTTGTTTGTTTTAGCGAGGGGGAATCGAACGTCGGATTTTAGCCTTCTAAGTTTCTAAACTTACCACTAACCCTCCGGCGTACAGAGAGATAATAAGCAATTTAGTATTATGCTCACTCACCAATGCAGTTGGCCCGGCATGGCCAGGTGGTTAAGGCACTGGGTCGCGGGTTCGAATCCCGTTATAATGTGACGGTCAATCCCACTATTCGTTGGTAAAAGAGTAGCCCAAGAGTTGGTGATGACTAGCTGCCTTCCCTCTAGTCTTACACTGCTAAATTAGGGACGGCTAGCGCAGATAGCCCTCGTGTAGCTTTGCGCGAAATTCAAAAACAAACAAACAAACCAATGCAGTTTTATTTTATTTTGCTAATACAAGTGGAAATAATGAATTGTTTTGAGTTATACCCATGCAAACATATTCATCATCAGTTACTTGAAATATTTTAATAGTGATCCTGCAATTCTTCGACAATACTTTCGGAAATATCACATATTTCAACTTTAGGAGAGTGTGACAGGCGTCAATAAATTTACCGTCAGTTTCCCGATGGGGTTTATATATATATACACCTCATTTCTAAACTATTTAAGTACCAACTTGCTTTTGGGTCCATAACTTTGTTGGTTCCTGGGTTAATAATACCATATGAATCTCATAAATAGTTAAACAAAAATGCCACGAATATTACAGTTAATCTTATTGTTATTTCTAGGGTTTTTTAGGCGTTTATCATAGAAAACGATTAACTTTCACTAAATATTTCAAGTAAGTTCTTTATAATCATAAAACTAATCAATATGATGGAATATGTAGACTTGAAACGTATTACTGGATATGTATCTAAGAAAAGTTTAGTTAAAGTTTGATTTTGTTTAAAACTCTCTACAATTTGCACGTGAAATTAGATCGTAAAGACATAAATGGACACTAGAATGATTTTTGTATAGTGTTTATTAATATCTTTGATCGTGGTACATAAAACAATACTGTAGGTTTATTTGTACAACAAACATCTGTGAAGTCAGATCGTCAGAACTGCGTGATGTGTGCACGTCATTTGTTACATGGTTGTACATAGGTTTTTTTTTTGTTCTTTTTTAGTTTCGTACACAAAATGCTAACTTACTCGCCCACGTTAGGTCAGTGGAACTGGCAAGTTTACCTTTAATACGCCCAAAGGAATTCGATTTACTTACGCTTGCGTGTTAAGAGTGGGTGACTGTTTAATTTTAAGAAATTACTGAAACCCTCAAACTCGGTCGTACATTTGATATAGAACATGATTCACTGATCAAAGACGGGAAGATTGCCCCACCTTAACAAGGTGACGATCTTTCATTGATGTTCAGCTGTTCGCGCATCACTGAATTACATCCTTCACTGACTGAATTCGATTAATATATGAGATTCTAAACATTTCAGACGCAGGCGGTCGCTGTGTCTGATAGTTGCAGATAAGTTATGCGCCCTCTTCCGGCGAACAGTAAAAAAAAACCCAAAAGAACCAATATATTTACAAATTTCCGATTGGGTTCATGGTAAACTTTCTTTCATTTCAAAGTTTAGTTTAATTTTTTTATGTAGTAAAATGAAATCTAAATTATTCTAGCAGTCTTTAAAAAATTCGCAGAGGAACAAGGATATTTACAACTTTTTGGATTACAAACTACTGGTTTTGTGATGTAACTTCATTTCATTTTAAATAGTAGTTTAATTTCGTAATTGTTTATCAATATGAAAACTAAAATATTCAGTACACAAGCTGTTAAGTGTTAATGTACTTTGAAATTAGAAAAGTTGTTTTTCTTGATTAAACATTGACAAAATTGTTGATTCAGACATGTGTTTGTGTTGTTCTTCATTTCGAACTGAAAAGTTTTATTACTTTTCTAGGCAAAACTATTAATAACGCATACATCAACAGAGCA